TTCCTAGTTTGGTTTTTGCAGGCCAACTGCTTGGCGTGACTGAAATATTGTAGGATTATGCTGTGCGATAATCAGTATTACAATCCCACCTAAGTAATTCTTTTTAATAGAAAACACATTTTAGATTGTCTGTTAATATTTCATGAGGTAGACCAGATACTGCATCGTAAGACCAATGAAGCCTATCCAAAAGCAGCGTATTCATGCATCAGCACCTGAAAATGCACACCACATCGGTCTGCCTCTGCGCTCATCCTTCTAGCCTTTACAGCGGCAACAGCTGAGTAGGCACTTTTTTCCAATCCTGGTTAGATACCGTTTTTTTGGTTTCTTAGGCATATCAGGCATGTTCAGAACACAGAGGAGTTGCTCATGCACTATACTGCCTCTTTATCCTCTCATGTGTCTTATGCCTTTTTCAAGAGACTCAATGCTGTGCACAGCTGCAGTGAAATTTGTAATCCGGATTCTGGTTCCCAAGACAAGAACCACTGGAGTCCAGTTGAAATGGAAGTCGTCCCTTTAATCCCCCTCTCCTTGTGTCATTTATTCGCATGGTTAAGGAACTTGCAATTTGTCAGCAGATGATTGAGGACATCAAGAAGATGAAGGACTAGCTGAAAAATGATCCACAGGGTAGGAAAGCCAGCGAAGCCCTCACGTCTCTCTTCAGTTCTGTGAAGCAGGATTAGCGTCTTTTATCCTCTGGCAGAAAAACAGCCGATTGCAATTTAAGAAGCACAGTTATTTGTCCTCTTATAGTAATTTGTTTTTTTCGAATGTTGGCAAAGAATCCGGAGTAGGTGCAGCGACGGATGGCGGAAGAACTGCTGGGCTTTAGAACTCAATAAAGCGGTCTTTATTCAGAAAAATCGCAGTTTATTTTTGTATAGGGTAACCGTAGTGGCGTTGGTGGTGGCGGTGGGGGTGGCGGCGGCGGTGACTCAAAGCATATAAGCGAGTAAACGGCAGCGAGATCTCGAGTAATTAGGGCGATTGCACCAGGTGCTTTAATTCAGCCGCTCAGTTTAGTATAATAACAGCCACTCCCACGTTCGAACGGAGCAAAAGAAGTAGCGTCGACATGATGATCATGAGGGCTAAACGAGGGTCGATCAACCAGAAAGGTGACAAAAAGCGGTATTGAGTCAAAACGTTGTAAAAGGCATGTACAATGATTTCCCGTCAAGACTCGCCCATTCGACAGATATGTACATTGGGCCTAACTCAGGCTCTTTAGGTGGTTCTGGGGCTTCAGTAGCGGTAACTGGCCCAGTAGGCCTCAATGAACCGAGGGATTAAAACATGCAAGATTAATCTAGTGCCCGACTACTCTAAGTAGTGTTCAGGTAGCCAAATGAATAACCGCCCCGAGATAGTTGCGTTTACATGATTATGTGTGTCGATTATTTTTCCGTCGTACTCTGAACCAGAATTAAAGCCAGAATGCAAGCCTACCTCCTCCCTAATATTCATGAAAAATAATGCCACTTAAACGGCCTCAGCAATATTTTTACAATCGTTATCTGTTACTTGAAATATTGCACATCCTCAACAAATAGAGTAGTAAAGGCTGAAACACCACTAAAATGGACACCTTTCCTAACCCACAAATCAAAACTTTAGCAGCATTTCGGCGGTTACTTAGTCCCTTATTCTCAGACTCGTTTCGGTGAATTCGTCACTGAACTATGCACTATTGGTGAAGTAAGCACATTTGGTGTCTTTATGTTGGGTTTCGTTCGGGCGCTAACACCGGCTGGGAGTTTACAAGGTACTTGCTCTGGTAGAATCTTCTCAGAAATGTATTTTGAACAGAAAATATGAATTTCAATCCAATTGTACAGTTCCACAGCCAAACTTAATTTTGCTTTTTGTATACCAGACCTTGCGGATGACCACTCTTCCTCGCGAGCCAGATTCCTCAAGCATCCCCACGAACGATGAAATTTCGGCAATTAGCAACTTTACTGAGAGCAATTAGGAAATTATCCCACTACCCGCAACCACTTGCGATAAATGTGGAAGACGATAATCTTGACAGGCAGGCAAGAGCATAGCAACTGCACAATGCGACACCTGGCCCTTCAAACAGTTATCGCGCCGCGTACAACCTTCTCGATGCATTCGGAAGCAGTCAACTGTGATAGGCATGCAATGTCATGGTAAGTAATCCTATAAATACTCTAATACCTGAGCGACCCCATACTCTTATCTGGTGCTGCAGGAGACCACCTTCCCAGCATCCGAAAAAACATGCCGGTCCCGGACGACAACGTTGTCGTTGAGACTCGCTGATGTTAACTGCGGAAAGCTTTTCCCTCGAGTGCTTTGGATGTCTCCGGATGCACTCGTCGTCAGCATTAGGACTGGTTCGACAAAGGTGCCGCAGACATCACCCAACTGTTCGCTGAAAAAAACACGCTGCACAGGGCCTACATGGACCATCCGACCGACGTCAAAAAACAGTCTTGTTTCGCTATCACTGCCTAGTGCAGCGTCGAATTAGGGAGATGTAGAACATCTGGATGACTCGCAAGGCCAAGGAATTCCGGGGGTATGCCGACCGCAATAAAAACAAGAACTTCTTCGCATCACCCAAAGCGGTCTATGGCCTTCCAACCAGGAGAACCACGTCACTTTTCAGTTCCGATGGCCGAACACTTCAGGAGTGTCCTCGACCCCATCTACAGTCTCCAACACCGCCATCTACAGACTTTCTGAAGTGGAACCGAATTACGACCTGAATCTGCCGCCTTCTTTCCTAGAAACAAGCCAAGCCGTGCACCAACAATCCAGCGGGAAAGCACCGAAGTCCGACTGGATTCCGGTTGAAGTTTACAAGCACGTCGGCCGCCGGCTGATGAATCCACTTACAACGCTATTCCAGAAGATCTGGTGCCGAGAACAAGTTCCCCAAGGCTTCAAGGATACAACAGTCGTCCATCTCCACAAGCGAGAGGGGAATCAGCAACTCTGTGATAACCACAGAGGGGTCTCATTGCTGAGCCTCGCCGGAACACCTCAGACAGGGACTTCTGCTTGAAAATCAGTGTAGATTCGGACGTCACCGTAGAACCACGGACATGGTCTTCGTCGTCCGTCATACTGCGAAAGAAGTGCCAGAAAATGGGGATTCATTAGTAAATTAAATTCTGAAACTTGATGGAAGCTTTCGACACGGTAAATCGCGATGAACTGTGGAAAATCACACAGAAATTTGGCTGTTCTGAGCGATTCACGCGCATGGTGCGTCTGCTCAATGGGGTGAGGGATGGTGGCGCGCATCTTGGACAACGGGACCGTCTCGAAAACACTTGTAATAACCAATGGCGAGAATCGGGACTGCGTATGCGTCCCCATCCTCTTCCCCCTCGTGTTTTCTGCCATGATAATGCATGCCTACCGTGACGAGCGCCGCGGAATCTGCATCGCCTACAGGACTGGCAGCCATCTCAACAGCCGGCGCATGCATGTCTCAACCTGCCTCCTTACGACCACTGCCCATTACCTGCTTTTTGCTGACGATTGCGCACTCAACACCGAGACAGAGGCTGACATGCAAAGGAGCATGGAGCTCTCCGTCTCCGGTTGCGCCAAATTCAGGCTGACCATTAACACGGACGAAACGGTGGTCATTCATCGATCGCCACCCAGCGCTGCATACATTGCTCCTCGCGTCCACGCCAACGACACCCGACTGGAGACTGTGGACACCTTCGCCTACTTCGGCAGCACACTCACGCTACACTGAAATCGACTACGAGGTAGCTCGCCCTATCTCTAAAGTCAGCCAAAAATTTGGCCGGTTTCAGAATTCCGTTTCAAAGGCATTTCATCTATAAGAGCCATAGATTTCCTCTATTCACCTAGCAAGATCCCCATTTTAAAGGCTAGTTCAAGTATTCCGGCAATTTTTCATAGTACATAATGAGGGTTTATGCGTGAATACTGAGACTATTTTCGCATCTTCTTTAGTCTGCTTGGTAAAAATGCAAGATTACAGAACAAGCAGCATGTGGTTTTAACATATTCAAAAGTCTAATCACGATTTGAACAAATGCTTTAGCAAACTATATAGCTTTCACAGTTATTTATCAACTGTTAGTTAACATGATTAAAGTCAATGCACCTTCGTTTTACCATTGTCTTTGTGGTAGGGAAAATGCATGGCGGGCAATGAATCAACTCATTTTCGCTTATGAAGAGATCCCGGCGAATGGCATTATCAGAAGTATTTTTGAATATACTACCGTGTCTGGTTGCTGGACGAACTGGTGGGAAAAAATTGTATGGTTAATAATATCCATTAATGTCTGGAGCTTGGAAGGGACATATTTTTACGCATTCATTTTTGGAAATAAAACTTTTTCAGCAACAGTTTGATATAGAATGAAGTCTGTGTGACCCTAAAATGCTTAAAGAGCTGGTTCGCACTGCCAGAATAACGAGGAGAACCAAATACACCACCCACTTACATCTTTCTTTCTCCCAAGAGAATTACCAAAACGAAGCATACATTTCCGGAAAAGGTGATATGCACAAATCACAAGGAGAATTTGTGAAAATAGAGGCAACACCCGCCACGTTTTACAAAGCGGTCTTGTCGGCATAGATTAAGATTTTCTATTGTGACTGTTGAGTTCGAACTTAGAAAATCGGCCCAAGGATCCGAAATGTGCAAGGTATCAGAATCAAATGCGAAAGTTCCAGTTCTCAAATGCGCTGTCAGTTTTATGAGTGGTCTTGCATTTAAAATAATAATATTGCTTTTATTCTTAGAGTGTAGTTCACGCTCAGCGCTTTCCATTAAAATGATTAGGAGGTTTAAAATGTAACTGCCAAATCAGCCTATTTTTCAGGAGGTCTTGTCTGATGACTTAGAAGTGGGCTTCGAAGTAGATGTGGTGCATATCGATTTCGGCAAAACGTTCGGCAGTCTCACATTAAAGCTTTTTGCTTAAAGCGGCTCCCTTGGCATCAATAGAAAGCTTCTGATCTGGACAAAAGCATGCCTGGCTGGTCAAAATCAGTCCTTATATATCGGAAAGGACAAAACGGATTAGATGCGCATAACTTGTGATACTCAACATGGCTCAGTTCCCGAGCTCTTATCCTTCATTTTCTACGTTTATAACAGCCTCCCTAGACTCAGCTGCGGCAAGAGGATGTTAGCGGATGACGCTGAGCCTTGGCAAGCCATTGAGGGCTTGGATGACCAGAGGGCCCTTTGAAATAATCTGCACCGGCTGCATTTCTGGCCTGAGCGATGGCTGCTAGATTTCAATGGGCAAAAGTTTGCCACCTTCCGTCTGCGTACAGCGAACTACAACCCGGACGACAGCAGGAGGAAATATCACCTAGAAGATATTCAACTTCTCTCAGAATCTTCGTAAAAGAATTTGCTGGTTAGATACAGAGAAATCTTAGAACATCATTTCAGTGTTAGGGGTGAAGACGTCACAGGGAAGTGCGCAGTATCGAAAAGAGTTTATTGCTTGCGGTGAAGGCATTTTTAGGAAAGTTTATGGCATCATCGTTCGGCCCCACCTAGAATATGACATACAGAAGTGGCGGTCATGACTGGCGAAGGGCGAAACATGCTTCGGGAAAATGCAACGTCGTACGACAAAACTCGTAAGATGCCTAAAATATCGAGCTCATTTAGAAAGACTCGAATGCCCTGAACCATTCGCTTCGCGTTATACGCAATAAAGATGCAATTTTATTTTGGTGTCCAAGATAGTACCTGCCCTTGAACAGCAAATGTGATCTGAGGATGCGTTTCGCTGACACTCTTCGCCTCATCTCCGGGATACCTAGTGAAGATACGCATGTGTCCAGAGAAACCTTCGTTCCAAATTATTCACATAGCGGGCAATAGGACGACGGAATGATCTCGCAGAACCAGCTTTGAAGACCGCGCCCCTGCAGCTTGTCATGGAACACTTAGGTGATTGTGGGTGTCCCTCCTTTGCTATCGACACGCTAAACCGAAAGTGAAGGCAATGCTGACTCCACATCCGAATTTGCTTTTAAACTATGTTTTTTAAATCATACGAACACTAACTTAAAAGTGATTTTTTATCAGATGCGTGTACAGCTATCCGCAACGCGTAGACACGCAAAAATAAATTCCTCTAAGGCCTGGCATGTTACTCTCAAAATCAAACTGAAATGATATGAAAACTTAAGGGTCGGAAGCTGAGCATTTGGGTCTATAGTCTAAAGGCGAAGATCCATTGTGATAAAAACACCTACTTAATTCGAAAGATTGAGAGAAAGCTATTTTTGTAACCTGGAAATGGGAAGAATCTTTAGGACGGGATACTGATGGATTTTCTTATAAAACGCTGGGAGGCTTAGTTCAAGAAACGGATTAAAGTGTTTTAAAAGGTAGATTGAAATATGATTATACATAGATTGCAGAGAAATCTTGCAGACTTCTTGGTTAGCAAGATTGTTAACTACATTGCTTACTTGCATTTAAGATGTTGCTCGGTTAACAGACTAACCACTAAAGTCAGGAAACGTAAGATCGGGTAGAGAATGAGGTGAACTTACGGCTGCTGGAAAAGTGGGTAAAGCTGATTATTCTACATGGAGGGACAACATCAGATGCGAGTTAATAATTGTCAAAATCGATGGGAGACGTTTTGTTTGAAGAACAATGAGGAACTCAACCTTCGGTGGATTTTATTCAGGTTAACAAGAAGCTTGTTTTCAAAGGTACTGGGTTGTGAACTAGTGGTTAAAGAAAATAAAATCATTTTCCATTTGCGAAGATGATTTTATCAAAAAGGACAGAAGTGGAAAAACCAACGAAAGTCTAGTTGTTCCTACGACTATAAAGTCAAGATCACAAGAGCGAAGAAAATAGAATGCAATGGTAAGTGTCAGTCGAGTCCTATGGACTTTCGCAGAATAAAGTTTGCATCTATCCACTCTGTCGCAAATCTTACTGACAAAAAACTAAGTGGAATTTTTGTCGTTGATGCCTTACTCAAAGCAAGGGGCAGACCGTTTTCCTTCGAAAAAACCTCCCGTGCCAACACGTGGCACCGTCGCTACCCCGAGCTAGGTCGGGGCTATATGGGGCTAGGTCCCATGCAATTTTGGCGAAATATTGCCCTTTGTAATGAAGTCGCTGTGCCTTATATCGCGCAAATTTTATGTTGTTGTAGTTAAATATATGCTGTGTGCCTTGTACAATACATTTGCAGATGATTAGAATCGAAAGAAATCCATTTTTCTCTAAGCTGAATATTGCCTTTGTTTAAGTGGGCCATGTACAGGGCCATGTGGAGGGCATTTTTGCGCTTACTGTGTGCGCGCCGGATCTATATTCGATATTCAAATCCGTGTGACTGCAGTACTTTAGTCATTTCCTTTTTCCGTGTTCCTGTGAGATGGAATACCAATAAATAAATAAATTTTATAAACGACCCGTCGGGGTTCCATAAAAGCAAGTAAAAATAAATTTCCATATGAATTTTAGGCTAGGTAGGCAGAAATTGTACAAAGTGCAATTCATAGTTTCTGAATTTGTAGTATGTTAAGATAAATGATGAGCGAACAGTGAAAAGAAAACTCCACTTAAGAATTTGAAAATGATTGGATTAATTTTACAAGAGAAAAAAACCGTTGCCCATTATAAAACAAAACTGCGGGCAGGACTGCCCTGCATGTGGCGGTATATAACGGATTAAAATGGGACATCGTCAGGACATAAATAAATTGAAGAAGGAAACACGATCGCCGGGCCAAGAGCTTTACTAGCCTGACGTTTCGGATTCCTACTCGAATCCATCATCAGAGACAAAAAAGCAGAAACGTGTGGTTGTTGCACAAGGAGCTGCGGTATTTATAGGATGCAGTAGCCATACTACCGCATACCTATGAACATTCACGGCTCCCCCCTTCATCCGGGATCGTCGCACTTGGTGCGATCATTGCTTGATGGCCGACATTCGAGTCGATAATTGCTGCAATTTCATCACGTGCGTTGGATGTTGGCGTGATGATTGCTCGACCATCTGACGCACCGACCCCGGTGTTGGGAAAAGTGTTCACCTCTGCCCTCCCCGCATGGCTTGTTACTCTGCCGGTGCAATAACACCGACCGACAGACGCATGGCGAGACCCCAAGATACGGCTTTGGCCCGATTCTATGGCCTCCCTAAGGTGCACAAAGACGGCGCTCCTCTCCTACCCATCGTGTCGCTCAAAGGGACTCCAACGTACGGACTGGCTAAGTGGCTGTTCCGGCGTCTCAAGTTCCTGACCGCTGAGTCAGACACCACGGTCTCTTCGTCAGCACAATTCCTGGAGAAATTCAAAGGGGTAAGCATCCATCCAAATGAGGTCATGGTATCTTTTGATGTTACATCCCTTTTTACTTCTATTCCCCAGGACCTGACGATCGAGACAATTGAGCTGCTACTACAAAGCAAATACGATGAAACGGAGAACCGTCTTGGACACGACCAAATCCTTCAGCTCCTGAAGCTCTGTCTCAGAACGTACTTCACGTTCGACGGGACAATCTACGAACAGGTGAAGGGCACACCAATGGGTTCGCCGATTTCGGGATTCATCGCCGAAGCGGTCCTGCAACGGTTAGAGTCGCTGGTCTTCCAACACCACAGACCGAAATTCTGGGCCCGGTATGTGGATGATACCTTCGTCGTCATCGAACGGGATCAGATGTTGACATTCCAGGAACATCTCAACGCCGTCTTCCCGGACATTCAATTAACAATGGAGGAGGAAGAGAACAACCAGCTGGCCTTCCTGGATGTCCTCGTATGCCGCAAAGATTGTGGTGAACTAAAAACCAAATGTTCAGGAAAGAGACAAATACGATGTGAGTACTGAACTTCAACAGTAACCACCCAATCAGCCACAAACGCAGTTGTGTACGGACGCTCTATCGGCGTGTCGAAACGCACTGCAGTGAGCCGGAAGACAAAATTGCCGAACTACAATACCTACGACGGGTCTTCAAAGCCAATGACTATCCGCGCAACTTCGTCGACCGGTGCATACGCAAAAGGGACGAAAGGCCTAACCGCACGGACACCAAATGTTGGCGGGCACTTCCGTATGTCAAGAACGTTTCGGAAGCTGTCGGCCGCCTTCTCGCACCACTTGGGGTTGGAGTGGCATACAGACCGGAGGCAACCATCAGGCGTCTGGTCATGAAACCGAAAGACCCACTGCCACGGCTAGAAACGTCTGGAGTCGTTTATCGGATCTGATGCATTTGTGGACAAAGCAACTACGTCGGAGAAACCGGAAGACAGCTCCGAACGAGAATGGCCGGACACGCGGCAGCGGTGCGCAGAAATGACGCCAGCTCTCAAGTTGCGGCTCATTGAACGAGATCCGGCCACACATTCAAATTCGATGAGGCCGAAATTCTCGCAAGAGGTGACAGCCGCGTGTGCCGGGAGCTACTGAAATCATGGTTTACTGGCCTCCAGTCCATCAACAAGTGCAACGAGCTTTCCATTCCATACTCCGTGCTAAAACTTCGCCTAGGCGGAGTTACAAGCCATGCGGGGAGGGCAGAGGTGAACACTTTTCCCAACACCGGGGTCGGTGCGTCAGATGGTCGAGCAATCATCACGCCAACATCCAACGCACGTGATGAAATTGCAGCAATTATCGACTCGAATGTCGGCCATCAAGCAATGATCACACCAAGTGCGACGATCCCGGATGAAGGGGGGAGCCGTGAATGTTCATAGGTATGCGGTAGTATGGCTACTGCATCCTATAAATACCGCAGCTCCTTGTGCAACAACCACCCGTTTCTGCTTTTTTGTCTCTGATGATGGATTCGAGTAGGAATCCGAAACGTCAGGCTAGTAAAGCTCTTGTCCCGGCGATCGGATCTCCTTCTTCAAGACTACTTCGTGGGACTCGTCTCTTTGCTTCTATTGACAGAAATAAATGTCAGCCTTGAGGTGTGCGTATGCGGGTCAGATAGGACTGGTCTACATGTGGTATTTTATACGGGATTCAGAACGGACATCGTCAGGGTAGGATTTATACGCCGAATGAGACTATTCGCGTCAACGTGGTCAGACGAGAGGAGCCCAGACGCGATCGGTCGCAGTCCGCTTCGAGCCCAGCCGAGGAGTGGGGGAGGGAGGTACGACCAAACTAATAGTAGACGGTGAAATTCGGAGGGTTCCGCCATGAGATTCGACAGACAGCTTGAGGTCAAAATGAGGGAGATGACATCACGAACCGCGAAAATCGTTGCTATGGGGAAGGAGTGGTAGCAGTGGATTTAGTAACCAATTCAAAACAGTGGGTTGTCAAGATATAAATGAAGGTTTCCACTTGATCTACCACTAAATCCCAGGAGGATCCTTCTCGAAGTCAAGAAGCTGAGTGTTTGGGAATGAGACCGTTAAAATTGCTTTTGTACTTTGTCCTTTGTTTAAGTAAAAGTTCCGCTAAAGTCGATAGAAGTGGACTTAAACCTATTGAAACTAATGGCACATCTTATGATTGTTTGAGTGTAGTGCATGCCGGCGTAATATTTATTTAAGCTATTTATATGCTAATTTGATTTAACTATGGACTGAAACTACTCAGAAATTCACCGAAGCACCTTGCACAAGAGGAATAAGCATGCGAAGATGGCGCATTACGCCGCCACGGAAGATCCCTCGCTTACGCCTACGTCCTCTATGGTGGCGAAGCAATCCCGCGAACGCCAGATGCCCCACCTTAACCCAGAAGTTTTCACTAGTAGTTATTTTATGTGTATGGGATTAGACGGTGTAGACGAAGGCCAAGCTGATGAAAGCCCAAACCCGTTTAGTGGCAAATGTTTCTTAACGGAATTGAAGGAGTTCTGCTTGAGAGCCCAAATGCCTCAGTCGATGGCGAAATTGTTGTTCTAGTTTTTGCTGCCGTACCGCCCAGAGGTCACCAAGGGCCGGCGAACTCTAATTCAGACACCATGAACATGGGTTAGCAAGTCCTTCTCCAACGGCAGCTACGTGCATTTGGGCCTTAGACGTGATTTCTTAGGTGAGTTCCAACTTCGAACCTCAGATTTCCTACCGACATTGCGAGTTCAGCTGCACATTGACGGGATGAAGCTTTTTATAGGGCCTGGTCATTGTCTATTTCCAGTCCTCGGCCGTGTCACACATCCTATCCGTGGACAGCGGTTTGTTACTGGAGTATTCTCCGGTTCCGGTAAGCTTGAGTATTTGAAGGTCTTTCTGGACCAGTGTGTCTCAGAACTTAAGGATATTCTGATGAGCCCGAGATCGCTATGGCGGACTTGATAGACGCCTGAGTACTGCTCAAAAGATGCATCATTTTCCAACGATTAATTAAAACACACTGATCCGTACTGACGCCTAAGAGTGTTAGCATTTCTCGGTGAATCAAGACATACTTTTCCGTACTAACAAGAACTTTAGATGTTTTCATGTAGAATCAGGTCGTCGGTTTTCTCATCCGAGGATCAAGCGTACTTGGCCTTATTCTCTGTGGAGGTTGCCTGTCTTTGTCAGTACCATCTTTAGGCTAACACGGTGGATCGGACCTCAACATACATGTTTCTACGTTATAACTCGAAGCTGATTGAATTCTTTCCCCAAAATATAGCATTTTCTTCGCCTTCCGACTAGCCCTTCGTCCGACTTACTAACACACATTAAGTTCTATGACGGGGCTGGTTTCTTCCTAAGTGCGAAAATAAATATTTGCAGCGCCAAACTGTACGAAGTTTCGGATCCGCTTATTTCTCGTTTTGTTCTCCGTAAGAAAATAGTAAGTGTCCGGGACGATGTTCTCTTCCCTTTATCCTTCGATCGTAGGTTGCGTAGACTCTCTCCTCGATTTCAGCGCAAAACGACATCCCCGTTCTGCCCTGGATTTGTTGTATTTTTGAGGGGCTATGAGATTTTCCGAAGCAAAAAAGATAGCTAAAGAGGTTCACTTCGCCTCACGGACGCTGAATGTCGCAAAACTTTTTCCTTAAACAGCAAGAGTTCGTAGGAAAACGTAGCATCCCGTCCTCCAAGACAGCAGACGTCAAGTTGGCCACTGATAGTTTAACTTGTTCCTCGCCTAAGGCGTTTATAAAAAATCAAATGCTCGAAACTATGACTTTTACCCTCTGGGACGTGACCGTAGCCATTCGGCGTTATCGTCAGTTGCATAGCCCTGAAGATGACAGGGTTCCGGTCAGCATTTTAAAAGTTGACACAAGTAAGATTTTCCCGTCCCTCCTGGGCAAGATATTTAATCGCGATTTCTAAAGTGGAACCGATCCCACTTTCTGGAAACAATAACATATTCTGCTTATCCCCAAGCAAAACCAATTTACGTCATTTGATTACTTTCGGCCAATAAATACCGTGCCCGCAATTTCGAAAATCTTCGAGACGCTGGTCAAAGATAAAATGGCGTGTCCGTTAACGTACAATAACATAGTGAGTGCTGTTTATCGTGGATTCCTCAAAGCTCGATCTTGCGACATATGTTAGCTCTCTTTCTTTGATCATGTTCTTCAATCTAGGGACAGTGGTTTCGCGTTTTACACAATCTTTTTGTATTTCGCTTAGGCTTTTGATCGTATTGACACTGCTCTTCTTCTCTTAAAGCTTTTCTTGCTCTGGATAAATAGCAGACTTTTGAATTGGATATCTTCTTGTCTGGACGCTAGCGCACACGGGGTTAGGATTGCCAATGTTATCTCCATTCCCATATGCGTGAGTAGTGGAGTCATTCAAAGTAGTTTACTTCAACCGCTCTTATTTCACTATTTGTCAATGATGCACTAGATTTATTTCAGCGTGGTAGGTCCTTCATTTATGCCGAGGATTCGAGGGTTTACATTGACATAAGTCGCCAGATCGCGGCCCTGCGCCCGGGCTCATAAAGAACGACCTATAGGCCTTAGTCCGGTGATGCTGCACATGGCGCCCTCATCTCTATTGGCACAATTGCTCAGTTATGGTGGTTGGCGACTACCACCAGCCTCAAATAAGTCTTGATGGTCACGACAAAAATGTGCTTGGAGTTGTTAAGGATCCGGGTATATCATGCTCCAACCGTCTCGGTCTTTAGGAACATTGCGTCTTGAATGCTTCCAAGGAACGTGGATATCTCCACGTTCTTTGGGAACCTTCAAGACACGTTCAAGAGCATCATTTTGGAAAATAAACTCATTCTCGAGACTGAGTTCATTTTCCGAAATTTTAAAACAGCAACATTAAAATGCACGTTTACGATAAATGAGTTAGACCTGGCCTGGGATGGTGCAGGTTTTTATTTTGCCTCATGCACGCTGCTGAGCGGGAGAAAACAAAATCGATCCAGCACTTTTTCCATACAAGAGTTTTAACCCCGCAACGCCGAAATTTGACTTATTAAGAACCTTGCGGGCTTACAGGCCTTGATTTCTTGTGGTTACTTTGGTTATAGAAGAGGCTATTTTTACTGTTTAAGCCTTTAAACAGCCGTACTTGTTATTCGCTTACTACTTTATAACCTCTTGAGCACCCCGACGCAAATGTCACCAAGAGGTCTTCTTATGTCTTTCTCTGACACGTACCGTTAAATATCGTTGGCTCTTTCCTGTAAACGCAATTGACATCTGGAACAAGTTGCCCAGGAAGGCGAAATGTCTGCAGAATTATTTCTTGTCTAAGATAACTATCACTTGTTTTTTGCATCCAGAAAAACTACCACAATTTTTGGGTGCTACATTCACTGAATTAATCTCCTGTGGTGATGGAATGCGTGGTCTCTCATCCCTCTGCCGCGTTCCATCTTGTGGGAAATTGTGCACATTCTGCGGCCCGCAACACAAGGGCGACAATAGAAAACTGCTCTCC